CAAAAAAGGAGAGACTTACAAAGAGTCAGATGGACTAACAGGAAGCCCTCATTCGTCAGGCATACTGATTATGGGAGTAGCCTCCTCTATGGTGGTGAACTCTCTTCTGCTTTTGAGTAATGGAGACTTGGGACTCTGGCTCAATTCTGTTCCCATTTGACTAACCCCTCTCTTTGCCTAGAGGTGGAGCCCTCACTATCTAGCATTTCCTTGTTGTTACTCTCCAATTCAGGGAATCCCTAGGGTACAAAAGGATCAGTGTTTGGGTAATCCTGGAACTGAAGTAGAGCCTCATAACTCCTAGGTGGTCCTAAGTCATGGTCTATCTGACTCAAATGAAAGATACTCAAGTCCTACATTGTAAGATATTTGGGGCAAGACTGTAGAGTGGGTAGGGAAATGAGGGAAGTGAGGGCAGAAAGAAGCAGTGAAGTCCTCAAAGTCTCTCCTACTGGCAAGCAACAGGTTGTTCTAGGGTACTTCTTCAGGTTAATTCAATTAAATGTTTATTAAGCACCAAGAAAAAAACTGCTGTATTGAAGAAGCTGTGTCATTTATTATCTGGAGAAAACATAACATTATATAAACGGACTGATTAGGCAGTTAATACATAAAGTAAAGATTTAAGTCTCAATGCCACAGAATTCATAGTGAAATATACCTCCCTCCTTTTGGCAGAAAGATGGCAGATTATCAGTGTGGAGAAAGGCTTATAATTCATAACGTCATGCATGGCCAATGGAATGGTTTGTTTTGTTTAGGTGGGTCAATCTAATTGAAGTGATCACTGGGAATTGATATCTACATCCTTTTTCAAAAGATCAGTAAAAAAAATTATTAAAGGAAAAAAAGGGAAGCACAGTGTGTTTTGTCTCGTAGGTATCTAGAAAAAACTTTTAATAGAAAAAATTAATGATTTATTCCTTAATAATTAGTTCTAATCCAAATAATCAAAACTTTAACGTCCAAATGTTGATCCATTTTTATAAAGCTAAGATATGAAAAAAAAAACCTTAGTTTTCACTCCATTTTACTTCAACTTTTGTCCATAAGTATGTTTAGAAGACATATAGGAAAAATAAAAAGTCACACATTCTAGCAAAGATACAAGATTAATTTAAGCATTACTTACTATATTGATAGTTTGGAGATCCACTGCTACTACTAGTGGAAGGGATTCCACTTTTCAAATGATCCTAACAAAAAAAAAAAAATTCAAAAAAATCCAAGCAAAGAAACATATGCATGTGTGTATATATATATATCTTACATACTATACCAAATATATATGTAAAATATATATTATGAAAGGAAAAAAGATAAAAACAATTTTTTCTAAACTTAAAGACTAAATAATAACTCTTTATTCCCCATTTTAGAATTTTTATTTAGAACTTTAATCTCCTTTTTGGAATCCAATGAGATAAATGCTAAAAAGAATTTGCAGATTCATATTTTGTTTCAAAAAATAAAAGTTCTAAAATAATCTTAAAGACTTAGGAGCATATTTTAAAATACCAATAGAAGAGAATTTTCCTTTGAATTTAAAGGGCTATATTTTAAAAGCATTGATGGAGAGTACATATTAAGCTCTCAAAAATAATACTTCACAGCCATTACAATTAGGACATACAGGATCACAGACTTACAAATGAAAGGGTAATTTTAAGAGCATAAACATATGAAAAATGAGGCTATATATCTGTAAGAGAAAATTTAGACCAATTCATGAACAGTGCTATTCATTCCTTTTCCATTAAGTAAACAGTTCTAAGTAAAATCTGTACTCAATAAAATTATATTTTTCAATTATTCACTTAATAATTATGGAAACAGTAGTGAAAATGCTAGCACCTCATTAACAAAGTTGGACATCTAACCAAGGTTAGATACCTCAGACCTGAAATAGCATAATTTTTCTCTACAATAATTGTTTTCAGACTGGGAGATAGAAATTATGATATAAAAAATCCAATGCTGTTTCTTTACTTTTTAGTTAGTGTTTCTAAGTAAAAATTATCCTATTACTAAATACTTTTCAAAATGAATACTTTTTATAAATTTCTTTCAAAATTGGCCTAAATATTTCAAAGATATTTATGAAACTTAGTCTCAAGAGTCTAAGTCCTCTCTTTACCAACGTAGATCATGGTCCCTTTGAATGGTGAGTCTATAAGAGACACTAAGGCCAAGAAATTTATCACTCTGAATCCAACCTGATGATATGTTTAGCTGGCTTGGTTGCCAAACAAAGACACTCAGACATACAAGAGGCATGGATGGGTTAAGATCCACACTGCTTCAATTAAATCCGAGAGCTACTGATGCATTTAAGGTTTCAAGTATGTATCTAGACAATAAACGCATAAAGTGAATTACCAATATCTGTTCCTTGGATCCCTGGTAACACGTACTGCAGTTTACATTCCAATAGGCACTAAGACTATCAAGGCGTACAAGCTATAAAAGAAAAAACATTAATGCCACCAACCAATTACAACACTGTCTTTCTCTGATAACTGTCTTATCTTTGAAAAAGCTATAGAAGAAAATTTAAAACATTCTCCTCAATTTATACTTAAAAAACTTTCATGGAAAACATCATATGAAGGAAATATAAGAGCACAGAATTTTGAAGTTATTAAGGAAATACATTTTATATACTGAGAAATTAAAAACCTGAGAAGTTAAGTGATTATCTCAGTCATACAGAGAGTGAAAAAGCCAGGAGTAGAACCCAGATTTCCTGCTTTCAGTTCAGCACACATTCTATTAAACCAAGGTATTGTCTAGAGACAAAATATATTTTCCTATATTAGGAAGTGAGAAAATTCATCTCTAATGCATTACCTTGTATATGATCTTTGCAGCTTCATTTAATATACATGGAGTCCAATTGTCATTAGCAGTCTAAAGAATGAAAAAGAAGACAAAATTAGATATTCTGAATGTCAAAATGCATAAAATGAATATATTTTGCTCAAAATGAAGGAACTTGAAAAAAATGATATACTGATTCTTTTCTGAAGAATATCTTTATTGTCACTTAACAAAAAAAAAAAAAAACAAGAGTGAAAATGAGATAGTTGAATTTTCTACCTAACTCTGAGTTACTTTAACCAGTTTACAATCCACAGAACATTTTTAAATGTTTAATTAGAGGAAAATTTAATCAGATTTACTTCTTCACTTAATTTTTCCTGCAAAGCCAGTACTAATCTAAGAGGAGATTTACTAACAGTTTATTATATGAAAACATACATAATATGGCCTTAAAAGTTGTTAGTATTAATAAACTAAAATACAGTAAGTTATTATCCCACCAAAGAAGACAAAAATGAGAAACTCCACTATTTACAGTGCAGCCAACTACTGCTTTCTCTCCACTGAAAATGAGTCTTTTCCAAGAATGTCTATGCTTCTAAACTTCAGTAGAAATTAAAATGTTTTATAATATATTATGGCAATTTTTTTAATCTAGAGGGTATAGAGTTACACAGAATGGAAGGGCATGGATGGGTCACTACATTATTAGAAACAACATTTGACTATTTGGTTGGGTATCTATAATAGCTAAAAAATATTATATGTTCAAATACAATATAGAAAGGGTTTTATATCTCAAAAAAGAAGACAGAGATTAGTTTAGAAAATAAATCTGCTAAAGAACCGTAGCTATATTGTTTTCCTATATAGATTTACAAGGGTAAGAGGAAAAAACTAGGAAGAAAAAAAAAGAGTAGAGGGTTAATCTAGGGTGAGGGGCTAGAAGGGTGCTCACCTTGAAGTAACAAGAATCAAACTTTCAGAAATGTGCCTAATAAATTCAATCACATTCAGTAAAACAAATATCACAAGACTGCTGGGATTTTTTTTTCAAAAATAGAAAAACAGTTTAAAATATGTTAAACGTATAACTCTCAGGGCTTTCAACAAAGAATGAAATAGTTTCCACACTTTTAGGCAAAATGAATTATGCATGCATAGGTTCTCCTTCCTAAAAGCTTCTATGTCTTTCTCTATTTCTCTCATTCTCTCCTTCTACCTACCTGTCTCTTTCTCCTATCTCCAAATCTTCTTTCCTTTCCTATTTTCTACCATAATATGGACTATTAATACAACTAAAATGGTGTTATGTTTCCTGTCTTAATTTAAAAAGCAAATTAATAAAATTACTCTGGTACTCTGAGCAAAAAAAAAATAATAAAAATAAATTTGCTTTTGAATTATGTGGCCCATGATTTTTTTTTATCAGTGACCCAAGAAAAAAACTGCTTGACTCCTAAGTTCCACAAGAAGGGATCCTCTGTTCTTCTCACTCTACCTTTGCTGTCATAATGCATGAAATCAAAATTTATATGTATATACTTATGCCCAAAAAGTATTTATGATTAAGTCTATGAACACTAAGAATTGTACAAACCCCATGAATATTTCACAATCAGAGAATGTCAGCTGGAAAGAGGCGTAGTAGAGATTATGTCGTTCGGTATTTCAAACTCAAATAGAAACAGGGGCCACTAAATCACAAATAAGGATCCCTGCAGGCTGTCTATCAACTTAGAAAATCACATATTAATATCATCCACATTTTATTGTATTTTTTACTTTGTTAAATATTTCCCAATTACATAGTTCATGCTGCACTCAGTTTCTTTTTTTTTTTCCAGAAAAGGAAACTGCAGAACAGAGAGGTACATGGGGAATTAATGGAAGAGCCAAATCAAGTATCCTTACTTACTCAGAGAGGAATGAGACAAGAAAAACATCAGGACAATTCAGAGTCATGGAAGCCAATGAAAGAGTTTTGAAGAAAAGATATGGAAGTATAAAATGCTGCTGAAAGGCACGGATAATGACACGAGTAAGAAAAAAGTACTAGGTTTGGCTACAAAGGTCACTAGTGATCTTGGAGAAAGCAATTTGGGTAAAACATGGTAGGGGTAAAATCCAGATAAGTGTTTAACAGATGAATTAGTGGTGAAGAAATGGAGTCAATGAGTATAACAGCCCATACTTTCAATAAGCTTGGTAACAAAGGGAAAGAGATCAAGAGAATGTGGTAGTTTAATGGTAGGAGGATCAAAAAGGAGATTTTTTTTTAACATAAAGACTTTTTAAGAGTCCATGGAAAATTGCCTGAAAATGTGAAAGGCAATAATGACGTAAAAAGGAAGGGAAAAGGTAGGAATCAAGAGGATAGGGTAGTGTAGTTAGCATTGTAAAGGATAGACAGTCATTGCTCTGAGAGAGGGGGAAAGGATGAGTGAGGACTGAGAAATGCTATTGTGAAGGGTAAGTAGGAGGCAAGGTCACCTGCTAAAAATGAAAAGGACAAAAATATTGGATTGACAGATTCATTAGGAGGGAAAAGATTTCAAATAGCCATTGTATAACGAAATTCAGTGAAGACATTAGCAAGGAGTTGCTGACCAAGTGAAAGGGTCTAGCTAACATTTGACAGTATGAATTTGCAGGCTGAATGAGAAACAGACATTTAAAGCCTACTTTGACCTTTACAATTCTAACACAAAATAAAAAGATTGAAGACTTACCAAATCTACTCATATAATTGTTTTTAAGAGATATTTTACAAATAAGTAGAAACAAAATATTATGTAAGTAAGTTGTTCTCATGGTGACTAGATAAATCAGAAAAATCTCCTAGAATCAATCCAACTGTAACCTTAAAAGGATAATTTTTCCTTGGTGGCACCTCAAAGCCAGATAAAAATAATTAAAGAAACATGAACATAATTAATCACAATAAGTTCCTTTCAGAACCCTTATCATGCCTCTTGATACTGCTCACAATTACAGCCTAGGGAAAACCATACTGCAGAGAAAACAGTCTATGTACCACTGCAAAATATGAGGGAGTGAATAGGAAAGTAACTGAGAAGAAAGAGAACATCAGTAAACATTATATTTATTGAATACATCACTTAATAAAATTCCTGAGTTATGAATTGAGTATTAAATATGATCACTATTCTGCAAATAAACATCTTTCTGAATCACAAATTACCTATTTATGAATCTTCATAATAAATACACTTAACAAATTTTTAGACATTTGTACATAAGTGCCATAATTTTAAAGATATCTGCAGAATTTGTGGAATTGTTTCTGTTCTTTAAAAAATCTACAGGTACTGTAGACAGCATTTGTGTAGTGAGTGGGTTTGTTTTTTCTTTCAGATAAATGTATCAACTTCTCTATTAAATAGAAACAGTAACAGTTTCAGACGTCTTGTATATGTTAATTAAAACTGAGAACCAATAAGGTAAAATTTATTTTCCTTAACAGGTCAACCAGTTCAATATAAACCTTCTATAAAACAATTCAACTGGTGGTGCTTGTTGAGGAGTTTTTGCTTGTACTTTACAATCTACGTCTTCAGCTCAAGACATATAACTTGATTGGCTCAATAAGTCAGGCTACAAAAACTGAAAGGGGAAATTCTGAACGTAGCATTATGCTACAATTCCAAATCACTCACAAAGTTATAAACTTCATTGCTACAAAGAGTTTTTACTTTAAGAATTAGCTTTTGATTATAGAATGTAAGGAACCTGAGGGACTATTTCATTGGGTTTTATATCCCCAGAGCCTAAGACAGTGGCTAATACTTAGTAGGTACATAATAAATGCTTGGTTATTAATTTAGACTGATAAGACATAATTTTATTATTTTATTAAATGCACTATTTATGAAAGCCAACTCAATTTTTTGGAAAAATATAGAATTAACATGACAAAACTTTTCATTTAATACTCTAGATTGTAAAAGGGCAATGGTCATAAACATAAATATAGTCATAGTAATCTGCAGGTGCTATAAACAATTCATCCTCTGTCTTTATAATAATACTTCACACATTCCATAAAAACTACTGAAATAAAATCAACATTACCAAAAGACTAAGTTCTCCCAATGTCACTCCCAATGAAAGAGGTCGCTTTGGATCAGTGACCTATCAAGGAAAAAAATGAAATGTTCAATGAAATATACAACACTCCAAAACAGAACAAATGTGCATGTATGTGTGTGTCTCATACACACACACACACACACTCGGATTAGCCTGCTGGTCAAAGTTTAAATCTGTAAAGAAATCACTGAAAGGGCAACCTTTTATAAATTTAGAGGTGGTAAGGAGACAGGAGGAATCCATACTTTAATCCTTTAAAGTGAAGAGTGGGATACTATAAATAGTAGTGAAGAAAAAACACAATTCTCCAGATTTGTGAGTCCAGTATTGGGTCCAGTTAAGGTGGGTGAAGGGTATTTATTATCTACATTTTTGTCTCAGTAACATCTCTCTGAATGTTTACATATGTAAGCAACTAAAATCTCAGTTTTCTTCACACTTTTTAGAGCTTGAATACTTCAAATTTTTTCTTACATTATGAAACATGTTATCCAATTGTATAATGACCTAAATAATAAAGGATGCTAATTTATTCCAAATGTAAATTTCAGGAAAAACTGAATTTTTTCTTATAGAGGACTAAGGACAAAATTATGAATTTTCTTTATTTAAAAATTCAATGATAACAATTACATTTAATACAAGATTTTTGTATCTGCATTTAATGCAACCTATGCTCAAATGAAAACTATTTTCTCTTCTAGAAGATAACTCCTTTCCACTCTCCAGATTAATAGGAAGAATGAAGTATCTAATCCTTTAAAACAAGAAAGAGAATTAAAGATAGTATTTAAAGTTGAAAAGAAAAGAAGAAAGCATCTGAAGAAGCAAAAGGAATTCTTGTGTTTTCTTAGGAGGCTAGACAAAGAGTGTGACAAAAAGAAGGAAGGGAAGGAAGACCACTGAACACTTGAAGCTAAGTAATAAAATTTTCTTCCCAGCAGATTCTTCCTGTTGTGGATACATAGGATAAAAGGATGAAGAGGCTAATACTTATGACTAGTAATTCCCTGATGAAGCAGACAGTTGTCAATCTGACATTAATAATAAAAAGTTATGCTTTTTTTGAGGGGGAGGAGAGCATTTAGCCAGGAATGGAAAGAACGCCATCCAGCATTTATTAATTCTGTTGATTACTATCCATTCCCAGTAATTCATACTGACATAAATTATATTACAAACTAAATCCAGAAAACATTATTAAATATGAAGTCTTGGGCAAGAAATAAAAGCTCTTAGGAGCATAGCTATTGTTTCTATCACTGCCGCCAAGTGAAGCCAAGGAAAGAAAAAAATAGATTTGTGAAGTCAACAACTGATTTTGAAGACTGTGTCTGAGAACAGAAATTAATTTCTGGATGAAAGTTTAAAACACAGAAATTATGGGGATGAAGTGTACCTAACAAGGTACAAAGGAAACAAGGAAAAAATGGCAAATGGGACTGCTAAACCATTTATTTAGGATATGATCCCTAAATAAGCATGGAGAATGAGAGACATGCTTCAGGGCTACACAGACAAACATCTTGATTTTTTTTTTAAAAATGATAATAGCATTAGAGTAAAAATGTATTTGCCTGAAGTATTGTAAATATAATAAAAAGAGCTTTAAGCTAAAAAGCAAGGAGTAAGGAAGTAAAACGCCTACATGTATGTATTCACCAAGCTGAATCCTAAAGAGAAAAACTACAAAAAAGGAGAGAATTTCTTAGGATACAAAAATCCAAGAGCCAGAAACAAAGCCTAGTGGCTAAAGATGACTGAAGAGGCAATATATAAATGAACTATAGCTAATAAGCAAGGGGAACATACATCCGAAGGGGTCAAATTTGACATCATAGGTATTACTGAAATTTGTTCTGATGGGACTTATGATTAGAATATAGTTAAGGAAAGTTATACCTTATTCAAAAAGAAGAGATAGTTAAAAGTTAGGCAGAGTAGCACTGACATATTCATGTGAGAAAATAGAAGAATCAAAGGGGAACACATTTATGTAAGGACCAATGGAGACAGAAGCAGAGTTAAAACTGTCATCTAAGTTTACTACAGACCATCTGAACATAAAGAGAAAACAGAAGAGTATTCAAGAAACACATAACAAACCTGGTACAGAAACATGATAAAGAAGTGACAAAGGTCTTTTAATTGTTCAGAGCATTTTCTCAGCCAAAAGCAGAGCTGCTAACAATTTGTTGATTTGTCTTGAAGATAACGTCATCCTTCAAAAAGCAAAGGAACAAAGAGTAACTGCTTTTCTAGATCTGATTCTCCTCAACAAGGAGGAAATGGTTAGTGGGCAAACAGATATGCTGGAGAACAGCAACCAATCCACCTTAAAGTCTGTGATAAAGAGAAGCAATCCAGGAGTAGCACGACATGTATCCTAGATTTTAGAGGAGAGATTTCAAAGGGTTAAAAAATAGGTAGGATTCTGGACTAAAATCCTATAGAAGTCATCTTAGATGGGATTGAAAGCTTCCCAAGAATGAAATTCTGAAGACACAAAGGGAAATAATACTGATGAGTAAGAAAAGGAGAAACTGAGATCAATATGGACACAAAGTGAATTCATCAACCAACTTAGATTTTTAAAAGACATGTACAGAAGACAGAAACAAAGGCAGGTAGGTGATGGAAGATTAACAAAAAAGTATAGCATTATCCTGTAAAAAAGAGTACTAAAGTTCAAATTGTGCTAAAAGTGAAATGAAAGTGAAGGACAATAAAAAATAGGCAGGGGAGCAGGAGCTATACTAATGAAAAAGTGAACCAAAAAAGAAATAAGACTGCTAGACAGTAAAGCTATTATGTTTTGTCTGTCAAGAAGAATCATTTTTAGACTATTGAGCCAAAAATGATTAATAGAAAGTTAAAACCCAAGATAAGCAGGAAGACAGTAAAAGAGCATAGTAGCTGTTCTTGATGAGATTAAGTCACCAGGGCAGGGGAAAAAAGGCAGATGTGACTGCTAAGCTCCTTATTCAAGATACAATCCCTAACTAAGCATGGAGAATGAGAGACATACTTCAGGGCTACATAGAAAAAATGTCTTGATTTTAAAAAATTATTACAGCATTACAGAAAAGAGATGGGGATCTGCAACTACAGGACAATGAGTTTGACTTCAATCCCTGGCAAAATTCCTTTAAAGAGAAAATTAAATTGAAACAACCAGAAAAAGAAGCAGTGATCACAAAGAGTCAGTATGGTTTCAACAATAACAGGTCATTATAGACTAACCTCACTTATTTGACAGGGTTACTAGACTAGCAGAACAGGGGACTGCTATTGAGTAATTTACCTAACATTTAAGAGAAATATTTGACAAAATACCTCATACTATTCTCCTTGACAAGAAAAGAAATAATTTAGGCAATAGTACAATTGGATAGATTTGAAATAGACACAAAAAGTAATCAATCATTAAGGGTTCAATATAATCTCGGAAGGACAACACTAGTAGAATGCCCCATATTTAATGTGTCATTGTCCTTGTGGTATTTAACATTTTTTTAAAAAAATCAATGACCTTGTATGAATATCAAATTTGCAAATGATAGATGCTAAAAGGGATATATTTACATTGGATAACAGAAGCAAGACCTACCAAATCTAAAAAACTAAAGTGAATTTAATAAGACGAAATTCAATATGGATTAGTAAAGGTTTCTACATGGGTTCAAAAATCAATTTCACAAGTACAAAGAAGAGAGATTTAGCTACATAACTCAGAAATATATTGGGTGGTTTTAGTGAACTACAAGATCAGTATAATACATGTGTGTTGTCCAGTATCATACGGCTGATGTGAACGTAAGCTATTAAGAAAAGCACAGTATTCAGAACAAGGGAGGTGATGGTTCTGCTGTATTCTCCCTTGGTCATGCCACATCTGAAATACCGAGTTTAATCTGGGCACCAGGTATTTGGAAAGACAATGAGGTAAAAAACATTCAGAGGAGAGCAACCAAGATGGTAAACGGTCTTGAAATAATCTTAAATATGCCATGTAAGGATTAGTTGAAGGGAATGGGAAAGTTTACCTGTAAAACAAATAAATAAACAGGTTTTCTAAAATTCATTTCAAAGGTAATTTGGACAAATAGTATAAATACATGGTGGGTTTAAAAATATTATATTAAATATTCAGGAAAGTTTTCATTGTCTTCAATGAGACATTGATCCATATTTCACGAACTTTGTAAGAAGTTAAGAAAAATTCATCCATAAGGCATTTCAAAACTAGGGAAAAAATGCACAAAAAAAATAACAACTACTGAATTCACTAAAATAAACCAATAAAATATCTAAACTTATTGGTGTCACACCAGTCAGTCCATTTATGCAGTTTAATTTCTGAAGGTGCTTTAGTGTGGTTGTTTGAACTAATCATGGTATATAAACAAAGGTATATATGTGTAAGGTGACATAAGACCTAGGTTCTATTCATGTCTCTACAAAAAACTGGTTGTGTGACTTCTCTGTGCCACTTATAAAATTATAAGAATAGATGAAGGGATCTCTTATAGTTTCTTTCATGTAATAAATTATGTAAGTCTAGCTTTTGATCTTTTATGTAAATGAAACACAGCAGTAACATAATCAACAAGAACAGAATAAAAGAATAATTGCATGTTTAACCTTAGGGTGTAGCATTTAATATTTTGTACCAAATTTACCCATATAATCATACTTTTGCTTAGACAAATTAATGATAAAAGATGCATTCTCTAAGTACTCACCAAATGACAAGGGGATAGAAGATATATAAATGTACAAGGAATCAGAAGAAAATCAGTCTGGGATTAAAATGTGGCCAAATACAGTCCACTAAAAATTTGCCACATGTAACACATATATAGATAAATTAAGAGTTGACTACATAAAGGAAATTAACAGTTTTTTTTAATGTTCACAATCTGGCAATTCTACTTTTAAAAATATATATTAACTGGTAGGGCCAATGAATTTGTTGATTTTAAAACTAAAGCACAGTAAGCTGAACTTACATCATCTTCATACTTAATATGAATATCTGTGATTTTCACTTGTACATTTTTTATGACCTGAGTTGCCAGCTTTTCCAAAAATGTATCTTTTTTTTCTTTCTTTGGCTTATCTATGAGAAAACAGAGAAACATTAAATTAAGTTAAATAGTTGATATCTGGACTTGATAAACCAGATATATAATGATCATAAAAGTCAATACATTTTGAAGAGAAAATTTTTACACCACCAGTAGTTTTTATCTTCTGCTTTTTTGTTACATGTTTAAGAAGCATTATCAATCCTAAATTCAACATTATTTTTAAACTGACATAACATTTTAGTGAATGCCTTCAAAGAAATAAACCACATAACAACATATTTGAAACAATATAAAAAGCCACATGTACCTACCTTTTGAGCGATCAAGACCTTTAAAAGGTTTCTTAAAATATTTTTTGTGCTTTTTACGTTTACGTCCTTCTCAATGGAAGCATTTTTGTGAGAAAAGGATAGAATTCAAGTTAGACTATTGGACAGAAAAGAAAAACAAGAGGAAAAGACAGGTTTCTTCCTGATGGCAAACCTCTCTATCCTCATTTTACCTCTTTCAAAACAGGCTTCTACTACTATTCCATATACAAATAAAAGTTCTGAAACCAAGCTACTACCAATCTTATAATCTCTTTGAATCTAGAAACAAAATTAGCAGGCACATTTACCTGAAACTGGGCAACATATTCAAACATATATTGCCCTTCAAAAATATTCTCCCAGTTTATACAACTTCATTTTTAACTTGAATGTGTTAGCAATACTTTGAAAACCTAACATATTATTGATTCAATGAAGAACCTTTGGAAAAAGATGCAGATACATTCAAGTGTGTCACCTTTAGCAAAATTATCCTATCATTTCACAATCAATAATAGTAAATCCAGCCTAAAATTTTCAACATAAGAAGGCTTATTTTTAAAAAGAGCCCAAAAAAATAAGTAGAATCTCAATTAATGAGATTTTGCTTTGCATTATCCTATTCAGGTCACAATGTATTAACAACACTTACCAAGTGCTATTTATTAGTATTAGTAGGTATTAAAATGTTATCATGGAATTAACTAGATCCAAAGCTCAGCTTATATCTTAGCAAAATCTGGCAAAATTATCTACTGCTGCTGGAGGCTAGACATGCTCACAGTTTATGAAATTTAGCAGGTAAATACTGAACTACTGTAGAATCTCATGTTATCAAATTATTTAAAATATTAAAATTATATTATTATTAAAATTATTAAAATATATTTAAAATATTTAAAATGGTAGCTATGCAATCTAGACCTACTGTTGAGGATCTATCATGCTTGGATCTCCCCTACCCCCCCCCCAAAAAAACCACATTTGATAGAAGAAACATTAGTCCTAAGCCCATGGCACAGAGCAATTTTCTTAAACGCACTGACAAGTGCTGTGCAAACTGTTTACTCTATTACAATGAAACCAAATGTTTCCAGCGAGGTCAGTAGTTTCAGCTGTATCATTTTAATAAGAAGACAAACTTTTCCTTGTTATTTAACTAAACTTAGAGATATACCTCACTTTACATACTTATTTCTGAAAAGTTCTACATAAATTAGATGTTAATAAAGTCATCTGTAATTGACAATACACCTAAGGAGTTTATAATATAAAAGAATACTACTGTGAATCCTTCAGCAAAGCAAATCATCATCCTTCAATGTGCTTTTTGTGGGAAACCAAATTTTCATGTGTGGTATTAAAATGGCTTAGAAATATAATACTACCTGTAAAGCACAACAAAAGCCACAAACCAAGATTTCAAAACTCCAAAGGTTACTTAAATAACATTGGAGCAGCGGTGCAAACTCTCAAATCAGTGAAATTATAAATTATATTACCATACTATTCAAAAGCGCAGCTCCACAAAAAATGGGCTTTACCCCAAAAACACAAGCATGAAAAAGTGCTTATTTTTATAATTAGAGAAAGTAATATAATTAATCATGCATACCCACCCGGCTTGATGTCCTTGCAAACAAAGTTCTCCAAGCCATATATGAACTCCCCTGAGTGTACGCCTACATCCCCATGAGAGCAATAACCAAAAGGCAAGGTATTTATAATAAGACTGTTGAAGAAATGTACCTCTCATTCAATATACAACATATACTTAAACATAATTCACTGAATCAAGTATCATTTAACAAGACAACTGAAATGAGAGTATACTGAACTAATCTATTTCTAAATAAACAGGTTAGTTCAGTATAATCTCAGTTCAGAATGTTTCTAAAATAAATATTCTTGTGGTTCTACTTTTATCACTTAAATATAAAGTGAATAAATTTTATTTCATCAATAATAGTCAAACATCCCTATGTTTATACTTTGTTTCTAAAACTGTCAAGACATAGATTTAGTTTTGATTCCACTATACAGGAATTTAGATTTAAGTATCTAAAAAGAACAGCAATTTCTTGAAAGGAAAAGGATTCTATCACTTGGGTCATGGAAGATTTGAAAAAAACAAGAAAAACGACTAAGCTACAAGGATTTTTAATAATACTACACAAATTATATTGACCAAATTTGGTCCAGGAAAAAAGACAAGAAAATGCAATTCCTTCCCTTCTTTTTGGAGGCAGGAGACTATGGGTGTGGGATACTGCATACATTCTCAGACATGGTTGATACGTTAATTGGTTTTACTGAACTGCATTTTTTTTCCTTTCTCTTTCAAAATCTTTTTTATAAGGGATGTTCATGTCTCTGCACCAAGGCGGAGAAAGGGGATATTTTCTGTAATGAAGGTGATATAAAAATATATCAATAAAAATAAGGTTTTTTTTAAAAAGAATTGCTTCCCTTCTCTCTAAACTACATACCACCATTTTCAGCCATCCCTCTAAGTAGAAGACTTCAAATCATACTTTACACAGATGTCATTCACCATGAACTCACTCTTTTCCCCTTTATTCTATATCTCAAAGACCCCTGACATCACCCATTCTCTACTCTTTCACTTCTGTTTCTGAAGAAGAAGGGGCCCTTCTCTTCTCAGTGTCCATAAAAATCATTACAAAACAATCACTAAAAATATAGTTGGTGAAAGAGAAATATTGACAACAAAGTGCCATCAGGGCTTCATCAATAAAACATCATCTTGATTCCTTTTTTGACAGAATTACAAACAATATGGATACAGTTTGCCTAGATTTTAGCCAAGCTTTTGATAAAGTATCTAATATAATTATTGTGGAAAAGATGAAAAGACATAGATTAAACAATAATACAATTAGGTGGACTCTAAACTGGTTAGAGATGGCTGGACTCAAAGAATAGAATTCATTAACAACATGGCAAGAGATCACAAGTGGAATATTTTAGAGAGCTGTGTTTGACCCTATGCTATTTAACAGTTTTATCAATGGTTTAGATAAAGGCAGAGATAGTATGGTAATCTAATCAGCAGATGACAGAAAACTAGGAGGAAGAGGTAACATACTGGACCACAAAATCAGCTAAGTGAAATAGCAACCAAAAAAAATAATGTAATATGGGGCTGAATAAAGAGAGACATACCTTCCAGGAATAGGGAGGTGTTAGTTTCATTGTACTCTAACTGCACCATGCCTCACCAGGAGTAGTGTGTTCAGTTTTGGGTGCCAGGGTTTAAGGAACACTGATAACGTAAGCAGTATTCAGAGGGCAACCAAGATGGTAACAGACTTTGAGTCCTGGGCATATAAGGTCCAGTTAAAGAAACTAGATATGTTTAGCCATGGCTTACAAGCTAGGTATTATCTTTTCTCTCTCTCTTATTCTGTCTCATCCATCTCCTTCCCTATCCCCACCTTCCCACCCCTACTGTCTATATCCAATCTACTATTAGGTTCTGTCAATTCAACCTTCATAATAGCTCTCATCTATCACTCTTTCTCTTGTCTGACACTGTCACCATACTGGGTGCAGGCCCTCAACACCTTATGCCTAAGTTTTTGCAACAACTTTCTAGGTAGTCTCCCTGCCTCAAGTTTCTCCCCACTCAAATCCATCCTCCATTCAACTATCAAAGTGATCATTCAAAAGCTCAGGTATGGCCAAGTCACACACAGTCCCAATCCAATCAACTCTAATGGCTCCCTACTACCTTCAGGATCAAACACAAAATCTTCTGTTTGGCTTTTAAAGCCCTTCAAATACAAGTCATTCCCCAATTATCAATTTGGAAATTATCAAATCATAAAATGGTCAAAGGATATGAACAGTTCTCAGATGAAGAAATTAAAGCCATCTATAGTCATATAAAAAAATTCTCTAAATCACTATTGATTAGAGAAATGCAAATCAAAACAACTCTGAGGTGCCATATCACACCTATCAGATTGGCCAATGTGACAAAACAGGAAAATGATAAATGTTGGAGAAGATATGGGAAAACTGGAACATTAATGCATTGTTGGCGGAGTTGTGAAATAATCCAACCATTCCAGAGAGCAATTTGGAACTATGCCCAGAGGGCTATAAAAAATGTGCATACCCTTTGACCCAGCAATAGTACTTCTAGGGCTGTATCCCAAAGAGATCATACAAATGGGAAAAGGACCCACATGTACAAAAATATTTATAGCAGCTCTTTTTGTGGTGGCAAAGAATTGGAAAATGAGGGGATGTCCATCAATTAAGGAACAGCTGAACAAGTTGTGGTATATGAATGTAATGGAATACTGTTGTGCTATAAGAAATGATGAACAGGCTGAGTTCAGAAAAACCTGGAAAGACTTGTATGGCCTGATGCTAGGTGAAGTGAGCAGAACCAGGAGAACGCAGTACACGGTAACTGCCACGTTGTGTGATAACTAACTTTGATAGACTTAGCCCTTCTCAGCAATACAAGGATCTAAGACATCTCCAAAGGGCTCATGATGGAAAATGCTACCCACATCCAAAGAAAGAACTATGGGGTTTGAATGCAGATCGAAGCATACTATTTGCTATTTTTTTTCTTCTATTTTGTTTCGTTTCCTCTTTCTGGTGGTTCCTCCTATTGGTTCTAATTCTTCCTTACAACATGACTAATGTGAAAATATGTCTAATAGGAATATATAGGTATAGCCTATATATGTCAGATTGCATGCCGTCTTGGGGAGGGAGGTGAGGAAGGAGAGAAAAATTTAAAACTCAAAAGCTTATGGAAGTGATTGTGTATAAATGAAAATAAATTAATAAAGAAATGAAAAAAGTATTTGCTTTCTTTTTTATTCTTTGTTATAAGGGATGAATCTTTGGGGGCAGGAGGGGTGAGGACTATATTGGGAAATGAAGATCATATAAAAATAAAGATCTCAATTAAAAATTTTAAATAAAAAGATACAGCATAGTTGTTAATCAGACTGCTTTGAATGAATGTAAATAAAAAAGCAAGGACTACCTGTATATTCTACATCAAATGTAAGGAAGTAAATCAATGAATTTTTTCACAAAACCATCTAGAAAAGCATTTTACATGTGTATGAGTGAAGTAAATATCTATAAGGACAATTAAGTTTTTAATTCTTAGCAAATGAAGGAAAATGAAGCCTTTCTTCACATATTATCAAATACTTGCAAGACCTGAATGAACTGATATAAAGTGAAGTGAGCAGAACCAAGAAAATAATTTATACAATAGCAAAAATATAGTAAAGATAAACAACTTTGAAAGACTCAGGAAATTTGATCAACATAATAATCAACCACAATTTCAAAGGAGTCATGATGAAACATGCTATTCACTTCCACATAGAGATCTAACAGACTCAAGAGTGAATACTGAAGCATAAGGGTAGGGGGAAGGGGGTGGAAGGCACAGGGGAAGGGAGGAAAGACATGGCTAAGATGAAACTTGGTTTTGCTTGACTATACATACTTGTACTGGGTTGTTTTTCTTGCTTTCTCAATGGGGAAGGGAGGGTTAGTAGAACAAGGTAGAAGGGAGAGAATTCAGAACTGAAAATAAAATAAAATTGAATAAAAAATGAAACAGAACAGTCAATTAAGTTGGAGGAAAAATACAAATCCATGCACCCCTCTCATTTTTAAAAAGGTCTTTTTTTCATTAATGTATCTCACATAGTAACATTAAAATAAGTTTTACTTTCTAATTTTGGTTAATACTACCCCAGCAATGAAAATTCCCATTGGTTTTATAACACAGATATACCTTTTCAAATTATACAAAATGACTATCTTCCATCCTAAATGGTTAAGTCACTCATTTTTCATGTTCCCTCTCCCATACTTAAAGGCATTAGAAGTTTTAATTGTACAAGATGTAGCAAATAGGAGCCTTAATTCCAAAAAAGCCCTTAAGCATATATAAAAAGTAGAATAGATATGTGCTTTAAGAGTGCCAACTAAAATGTCAATTCCCAAGATAAAAGAATGTACCAAGCATATCTTTATAACACAGAATAACTGTTTAGTCTTTTTCTTTAAAAATCTCTACAAATTATAACCTCCATGCATTTATCACTTGGAAGGAATGAAGCATATTTTGGGAAGTGAGAAAGGAATAAAAGGAACTTTCAGGTATAATATTAATATACTACGACTACAGAAAAAATACATTTGATTTGTTCACTGTTATACAAAAAGGACAGAATTCCAAAGTTTTCTAAGTTATTTTTCCTTCCACTGATTCAGACAATGTTAAAATTGAAAGAGGCCTCAGAGGAAAGGTTTTTAACATTATGCATCATGGAGCCCTTTGGCAATCTGGTAAAGCCTATGAACTTCATCTAAGAGTAATGTCTTTAAATGAATAAAATAAAATACATAGTATTACAAAGGAAACCACTTACACTGAAATATATTTATCAATTTTTTAAATGCAAAACACCAGGTTAAAAACCCCTGATTTCAAAAATGTGGAAATTAAGGCCACATAAGTAGTAAACAGCAGTCAGGCCACAAATCCTTCCTAACATTAATACTAGTGCTCTTTCCATCACACCAAGTCAGAGTACTTTAGAAAATATACTAAAAGTTAGAAGTTAATTCTAATGAAGCAAAAGTAAGTCATTTAGGAAGAATGTGTGTAGGAATAGGCATATTCATTTGTCCAAAAAAAGGATTTCAAAGTATTATTGTACTTAGGAAATAAGTGAGAACAACATATAAAAGTAAGTTATCTTTACAGACAAAAAAAAAATCTAAGTTGCTAAAGAAAGTTGAAAGGAAAGAACTCAAATTTTTTTTCAAAAAACTTAAGAGTAATAAAGTTTAGGGCTTTTTGCCTTTGAAGAAAACTGTACTTAAATGTTTCTAATAATAACAGCACTGTCACAGCACTTGAAATCTTACAAAGTACTTTACATGCTATCTCATTTGATCTTTAAAACAACCACTTGAAGTAGGTGCTATCCTGACCTTCCTTTTGAGGAAACTGTAGCTGAAAGCAATTCAGAGTCCCAGGGTCAAACAGCTAAGTAAGTGTTAAGCAGGACATAGACTCAGGTTTTCCTGACTTAAAAATCCAGCCATCTTTCAACTGGGCAATGTAGCTGCCTCACCAGCTCATGTTATAAAGAGAAAATACTTGGCACCAAAAGTGCTAATACTAAGAATGACAAGTCACATTTCTACAGTGCTTTCAAGGTCTACACCACATTTTCCTCATACCAACCCTATGAGGAAGATATAATGAACACATATCCCTAATGAGCAAGCATATTCAATTTCATGGCAGATTTCCCCCATTTCATTAATTATATACCTTATGCCTGAACTAGAAAAAGAAATCACACTAACAAAAAAATCCACTTCTATTCAATTCCGGACAACCAACTCCAGACCAAATTGTATGGCAACTACATTAGCATTCTATAATTAAGAAGTCTTCTTCCAACACAGAAATACAGAAAAATGATGCCATATGTTAGTAATTGCTACATAGCACCACCTTAGGCTTGACTTGAAACTAGAAACATAGAAAGAAAAAACCTTTCACTCTATTACCAGTCCTAGCTGCCTTCCTTCTGTAAATAAAATTTTCTTCTCACTCCAATCTTATTATTCTTCCCCAAAGTGATAGAAAATATTTACCACACACAGAATTTTTCTAGATGAGAAAGAAAAAACTCATGGAAAGGAAATGAAAAGCCAAAAATGGAACACATAGTTTAAGAACATCCAGGACAATGTCAAAGGGAGAGTCTGTTTGCAATAAAATAACAGTGCTGCTTTAATATTATCCATTTTCTCTTAGAGTGACATCATCATGGCAAAGAATTTAATTTCATTATTTTCAGGAACTTAGATACAAACAAGCCATAGCTATACTTTTGTGTAAAACAAAAAGGCTTGCAAGAATATAAATAAGCTTTGAAAAGGCTATTTAAAGTACATTTAAGCATACCAAAAAAATTCAAGCTACTATAATATCAATTTTTTAAGGTCATTCTCAAAGGAAACCTATCATGACTTCTTGATACAAAAGATTAAGAAGAAAAATGGCGCTTTTCCAGGAAACCTGAGTTTATCAAAATGGACAGGTTATCACAAATACCTTTCTCAGCGGCTTTTTGTAAGGCTTCTTCAATTCTTGACAGATCTCTCTGCTTAATTTCCTGCAGGTATTTTTCTTCTTTTCCAGCATCATATTTAATACCTAAAGATAAAACATTTATTTTAACATCACATTTACAGCACAGTTAAATGATAACACTTCTAGGACAGAAATAAATTTATTATGTATGCAAATTTTTAAAGACAAATTTCAAAAATAAAACATTGAAAGGAAACTTAAATAAGAAAAACTATTGCCTTTAATTAGAAATTTATATAGAAGCACTCAAAGAGACATACAAATTTAAAGTCTTTTTTCCACAAAAATTAAGTTAAATCTATTTATTTTATCTTAATAGAAATTATTAATAGAGAATAATTATAATAAATAATTGAAACAGTTTTGCCTAGTAAACTGTAAAAATATCATATTTGCAATTAGTTCCTTTGTATGATCTTCAATTTTGCTATTTATTAGTTATCCTACAGAACTAACAAAGTTTCTGATTCACTGATATAAATCAACAGTTAAATAATAAAATAACTTACTAGCTCCAGGGACAACAAGTAGGTACAATCCTTCTAATGTTGCAACAACTGCTTCCCCATACAAATTCTTCCAAGGAATCTTCAAAGTAAGTTTATCTAAAAGAAAATAATTTCAACCTTAAAATGTTAAACTATTGAAATGATACACATTTCTAAATCTTCACTGAAGAGAAAATAGATCCTCTCTTTTTGCTGACAATGCTGCCCTCAATATAGTGAACATCTCCAAAACCCACAGAACTTCCTCCAAGAAATCAGGCAAGTATCAGTCTCACTAAGTGTCAGAGTACAAGAAGGATAAGGATTCACTATACACTTAAAAAAAAAAAAAAAAAAAAGAAAGATCTCTAATCAGAAGCAAAGTGGCTATCAAAGTCAAACAGACAATTTCCTGGAAAAAGGCTGTGACAGGACCATTACTAAAGTCATGTTTACATAGAGGCCACAATGAAATTGTATCAAAGGCTTATTTTATACATTTTAACATTATTCTGAGAAAAGATGCAAAAGCTTAATGCCAAAAGGACCCATTATACAAAAAGGGTCAAAATCCTTGTTCTAGAGAAAATAAAAATTTAAGGCAATTAGGACCCCTTTAAAGAATTCTGCACTAAGAAATCAACCTTTATTTCTAAGACAAGAGAGGTACAGCTATTTAGTAGTTGAGATGAAAAATCTAGGGGTTTTAGTAGACTGGAAATGCAACACAAAAACAAAGTGCAAAATGGCACTGAAAGAAAACTAACGAGATCTTGGGCTACACTGAGAGGTACAGTGTTGAGAACAAGGAAGGTGATGGTAATACCATGCTGAGACCATATATGGAAGGTTATATCAATTCTACATCCCTAATTTTAGGAAAGACAAGCTGTAGAGAATTCAAAGAAAGTTAACCATAATGGTGAACTTCCTAAATATCATATCATATGAGGACTAGTTGGAAGAACTGAGAATTTGCAATCTGGAGAACAAAAATTTTTAGGAGGGAACATGAAAAGGGTTCTTCAAGTATCTGAAGATCTTTATGAAAAGTTTTTTCTGCTTGGGGCCTGAGGAATACACAGAGAGAGAGAAAAAAAAAGTCCCTGCCCTCAAGGAATATATTTCATCTGACATTGAAGAGAAGATTCTTTTTCAGGTTCAAGTTGGACTAGAAAGCCTTTGAGGTCTCTTCCAAGTCTTTAAGATTCTGTGAATCTTAGGTTAAACATACCTTCAATTCAAAATATTCCTTCAATGCAGATTTCAACTTATTTATGAATTATCAAAAGCTAACAGTTTTACAAGGAAAAGGAATGCCAACTTACCAAAATTCTTCTTCTATATAAAACTGATACATAATAAAACAGAGGTGAGAAAAGCTAAACAAAACATTTTCTTTTTTGAAAAAAAGTATAAAATAAGAAAGAAAGGCTATATTTAAAGCTGGAACAGCTCATATTAGATTCAAATTCTATTATTTTTTCATTATGAAAAGTGAAAAAGTATATCTCCTGAAAATGTAGGATCAAATAAAAAAACTAAATTATAAGAGGGCAGGTTACTGTGGCATAGCTGTATCACAATAAAAATTTCAAATTGTTTATTTTCTCTCACTTTGCAACATATTTTTCCTATTCTATTCTACCAATACATTTCCAAAAAAGAATAAAATATGCTGTTTTCTCAACTAATAATTAGAATTTGCCTAGGACCCTTCAGAATTATGTTCAAATTTTTAAAGAGAATGGAGTACAGAACCAGAAAAAAGTATTTACCTAAAGTCTGAGAATAGTTCAAATGAACTTTAAAAATCTTACCTATTTGTCCAACTTTTACTTTAAAGGGAACACCCAATTCGCTCTTAAGAAAGAAAAAAAATAAGATCAATCTTCTTTACAAAACAAAATTTCAAAAGTTTAAAAATCATTTACATCAACAACAAAAAAGAAAAACCAAAATGTTTAGGTTTTATCCATTACAAGAGATATTTTTATAGGTAATGAAAATAGAAGTTAGATTAGATAAAGATAGAATTATTAAGGATTGATTAAGACAGGGACTGGACCTATGGTTTCATTGATACAGGAAATTCCCAAATAAGAAAACTCTCTGTACCAATGTAGATTGGTACCTTCTCCACAAGTTGTAGTCTTAGAGAGGTGCCTAGGGTACTGAGAGATTAAGTTACTTGCCCAAGGTCACATAGCCAGTACGCATAAGAGGTGTAGCAACCATGTCATGTGGTCTTTCATACACAGTATTAGAATCAGAGAAAATTTTGGAACTGGAAGCAATGTTACATACTTTATTTTTAATCCAACTAAAACGCTGATTAGAAAGAAGTAAAACAATTGTTTAAAAGGATCAAGTTCTAAAAGACTTTACAACATTAAAAATGTACTGGTAACTGTCCACTTGATTTATTAACTAAAATGAAAAACTATTACAAGTTCACTTCTCTTGGAAAACTGTACCAATTGTGAAAAGGAGATCCATTAAGTTTTAATGGAACAGATGGCCACTGCTTCTTTGCAATGTACTCTGTGACAGAAAGAAATATCTCAGTATAAATAAGCTGAAAATAATGGCTCAATAAATCTGGAAAAGAAACAGAAGATTCTAAATACTGTTCATAAACTAAGTCTTAATTTAGATAACTTAGTGACTAATGCTGGTCAAACATAATCCTGAATTTATCTAGTATCCAAAATACCAGGAAATTCAAATAACCAGGATATTTCAACATAGTTAATATGAGAAATGATGTTCAGAATCATCACCTAAGATGTGTAAAACACTGAAACCTCATCTTAATAAAAAATTACATCATACAAGTATGGTTTTGTTGTGGAGCATACATTATTACATTCTTATACTTTCATTGCTATGCTAACAGTCGATTAAAACATTCAACCAGTCAGAACATTTCATTCCTCAATTACTCTATGTAACTGAGAATTTACTCAAAAATTCTAAGAACATTTTAAGGGAAAGAAGAGCATTTTGGGTAATAAAAAAAAAACCTTGCTCGGAAGAGAGCATTTTATCTGAAGAAAAGAATATATGAATCTTTATCATTAACAAGCATACATACAAACATATCCCCACATATATTAGTATTTATATTGTGTATTTTGTGTGCACATCCTTACCTGTGAAAAATCACATAAATTCAAGGACTTTCATGCCATACAGGGCAAAAAGTACATGGCCAAAAAGCAAATCTTTCTCCCTCAATCGATATAAAGAACTCAAAAAGGCATAATATTTGCTAATAGCTAAGAGTTGGCACTTGTATAGCATATTTGATCCTCATAACAGCACTGTAAGGTAGGAGCCATTATTTATTATCCCCTATTTCAAATATGAGGAAACTGAAGTGGAGAAAGGTTACATGACTCGTACAAGGTCACATGGAGCCACAATTTGAACACAAGTCCTCTGATTCCAGATACTGTGTTCTTTTTACCATATCTTGTTTATATTAATTTATTCATTAAATTATTTTAAATAGATGGAGCAAAATTTCAGTCTAACACTTATCCAAATAATAATTAATTCTGAATTAGTATAAGTGAGATTAACGAAGTTTTACCTGAAATATACAAAAAAAAATTGGACTTTGAGGAACCAAGTTCTACTACTAGAATTGTTAGTATCTATGAATGATTTCTCCTTAACAAAATTCACTGTAAAATTCCATGCACAGTAATCATCCTCAAATCAACTAGAACAAAAATTAAGTATATACACAACCATGCAGTAAGAAGTATCTTTCAGATGCTCTTAGTTTTTTCAGTGACATAGCAAAGAAGCTTAGTAACAACATAGAAAGAATTTTACTTATATGACAATCATAACAAAACAATAAACTCACTAATCAAAGGTAAAATGTAACCATAATTCTGTTATTTTACCATTCTCTAACTTATTAATAAATAAATCATCTCCTTTTGTCCTTTACCTAAATCTGAATTGCTTCCTAATTTCCAAAAATCAAACTCATGAAACACAACATGAAATACAACCACTTAAACTGAATATTATAAAGCAAATGAAGTTTCAGTAGCACTAAACTTTAGCCTTCTTTGTTATTTGTTTTATCTTTTCACTGTAACCAAGCTGGAACAGAAAGAAGTACTCTCTGCTTCTCTGACATATAATGAAAACCCAAGGTCAATCCTAAAATTTTCTTACAACACATTTAAATATCTGGCCTTTATTTAGTACTTTGAGTTCTCCAAAAAGATTTACATATATTTCTCACCTACCTGGTTTACACAAAAAGTGTCTACCTGTGAGGTAGACACTATAATTACAATAATCCCCATTTTATAGATAAGGAAAGTTAAACTAGAGGTTAAATGGCTCGCCCTCAGTCACAAAGCTCCTTACGAACTGAAGGCAGTATTTGAATCCAGGTCTTCCTGACTCCAAGTTCAGCACATTATCCACTATACCAGTAGTATCAAACTCAATTAGAAACGGGGGCCACTGTTCTGTGCATAAGGATCCCTGTCGGTTGCATACTGACCTTGTTTTAAAATGCAATATGCTTTACTGTATTATTACTTATTGTGTTAACTATTTCCCAATTACATTTTAATCTGGTTTGGGTCACAGTGGGAGTGTTGTGAGTCAAGTATCTGACACCTCCACACTATACCAACCACACTACTGTTTTAAAGACATGGAATAATGTAACTTGCATTCATTTTGTTTGGTTGGGCACTTGGCAACAAAGTTATTTTTAAGAACTAGCAAGTTACTTTTAGGAACTTAACTAAGAGGAGTTGGTTAATTCAAAAATACTTACCAGAGCATTTTCTTTTATTTGCAGGTTATCTAAGGCCACATTACCTAAAAAACAAATTAGAAAAGTGAGAGTGAAAATAGCATAAAGTTAGCATACCAGTCAATTTTAATTTTCATCACTATTATTAAGAGGTGATGTTGGTGTCAAAGTATGGAATGGACAGAACTCAGGACAGGAAAAATTCCAAACTACTTAAGTTGTTTGATATTAAGGGAGAATCTGGGATCTCCTTCACTGGAGGGTCAGAACCCAAGAATTCTAACTAGTTTAGGCACAATTATAAGATAAAAATGTTAAAAGAAAAAAAAAACTAATATGGACCCAAGAGAATAAATAGTGCAGGGATTCTTAAACTGGGGGTTTGTGAATTTGGGTTTTTTTGAATATTTTGATAATTGTATTGTAACATCATTACATTCCTTCATAATCTTATATATTTTATTTCATGTATTTAAAAGCATTATTCTGAAAAGGTGTCCATATGCTTCACCAAACTACCAAGGAGTCTGTGACTTTAAAAAGTTTAAGAAACTTTAATCTAGTTCAAGGCCTTCATCAAAGGATACCTTTGGGATTCATTTACAATTTCAGCATACACAACAAAACATTACTTGTTAATATAAATTATCACTTCTTTTTTTCCCCTAAAATAATATCTTTCACACTCAAGAGTATCTACATCTTAATTTCAGTGCTCCAAAATCTGCTAAACCACACCAAATTGTTTTCTTCTGATTTCAAATACTGATGTTGCTATTCTATTTTTAAAATCTCTCTGGAAAATTACAATTGGCACCAATTTTTGTTTCCATATGTACTAGTCACAAGTATCTTTAGATTAAATTCTGATATTGGCTTAGACAAATATAGAGACATTCAGATCCCACGAATCCAATCATAACTCCCACTGATAAGGTTGTGTCCACTACCTTAAGGTGGCAAAGGAAATCAGAAATTTGTCATACTAAATTAGAGAGTGTCTAAATGAATTACAAATGATGAAAACCATGTTTCAGATTATTCAATTTGGTTTAACAAGCTTGTAGAAGTGCCTTCTGAAATGTATATACTTATTAGCAACTTAATTTGGCTCTTCAGTCAATAATCACTTAAATTATACCAAAAATGACCAAATTGTACATTTTCTTATGAATCTCAACTCCTGTAACAGAACAGTAATAGGTCCTAAATGGGAATGCATTGAAGGCAACTATAATGTCATGTGACTACATTTTTTTCTTAGACCAAATGTAGAATCATCTCACTATTTACCTGACCTAAAAACAAAAGGAACAAAAGAAACGTCTTTCGCCTACTCATTATCCAGCAAACAATTTTCTCTGTAACAAATATAAATGTTATCTAACTAAACAGTAAGTGTTGCATTCATTTTATATGTTATTTTATTTGCAGTGTAGGAGGAGACACCAGTTCTCACACAAGTAAAAGGAAGGCACTGCCATAGATTAGATTAGCACCTGGAACTCAAAGTTCATTCTAAAATAAAAGTTAAGTTAAACTTAACTTGATCTAGTCTTAATACCAGCACAATTCAATGACATCTAAATAAAAGAACATAAAACTGCAAATAATTCATGAAATAACAAAATGAGACCAGACCAAATCCGGCATTTTGAAATTAATCAAATACCTAAAAATACGTAGAGAATGTTTTCAATTTCAGTTATCTATTTCAGACTAAATCAAGTAAATGACTCCTTAAAAAGTGCATATAAAAGGTAGTACAGATCATTAAATAGCAACACCTGGCCTAGAACTCAACTATCTCCTGACACCCTAGATCTTAATTCAAAATTACATAGAAAGAAGTTGCTTGTCCTGATTCAGTCAATCAGAAAACATTATTTGAGCACCTACAATGGCCCAGGCACCATGATAGCCCCACTGGGACACAAACATAGTAAATCAAACAACACCAATTCATAAGAAAGCTTGCAAACTATACTTACTAGAATATAAGGAAAAGCACTAGAATAGGGGTCAGATCTGATGTCTAGTCCTAACTCTGGACAGTAACTACCTGTGTCACATATGGTAAATCAATTTAACCTCTCTGGGCCTCATCTGTAAAATTATGGAATTAGATTACCTAGTTAAATTACATAGTTAAATTATTTCTCATCTGTAAAATTATGTAATTAGATTACATTGTTAAATTCATGTGGTCCCTAGATAAATATTGACTGATGCATGTCCAAGTATTTTATAGCTTCTATATTTATTTTCAAAGGAATTTTTTTCTTTTTAGCTCTGAACTGTTATATATCAGAATGCTTTTATTTTAAATCTGTCAATGTTGATTAAGTTATTAGTTATTTCAAATAATTATACTTGATTCTTTACGGTTCTGTAAACATATTATCATATCACAGTATCATTTGCAAAAAGTGATCACTTTGTTTTCACTCTGTCTATACTTACTCCCTCAGTTTCTTTTTCTTGGCTTATTACTATAAATAGTATTTCTAGCACTATGTTAAATAATAGTGATGATAACAAGCATTGTTGCTTTATGTTAGCTGCTCCTAACTCCTGCAAGAAAAATTCCATTCAAAATAACTAAATAATCTATAAAATATTTGGGAGTATATCTGTTGAGGTTACTCCAAGGACTCTATGACTCTTAACTATAAAACTCTCTTTGCATAAAAACACACAAATAATTTGGGAAATATTAATTGTTCATGAGTAGATTGAACAAATATAATAAAAATGACACTATTACCTAGATTATTTTATTCAGTGCCGTACCAATCTAAATCCTAAAAGAATATTTTATAGATTTAGAAAAAAATAACAAAATTCATATGGAGAAATAAAAGATCAAAAATATCAAAGGTAATAATGATAAAAAAGTGGCAAGGAAAAGGTTAATCAGTGCCACATTTCAAACTGTTCCACAAAGTCATAACCATTACAACAAATTGGTACTGATTTAAAGGGGAAGGGGGGGGGGGGGAGAGGGAGGGGCAGGGTGAGGAGGTTAATTGGTGGAATAAATTAGGTATGTAAAATATGGAAGTAAATAAACATGGTAGCATAGTGTTTGATAAAACATAAAAATCTTAATTATTGGCGGAAGGACTCACCATTTGATAAAAACTGAACACTAATAGAGAAATGTAAATTAAAGCAACTTTGAAGTTCCACCTCACTCCTATATCAGATTGGCAGAGTCAAAAAAAGAGAATAATGACAAATTTTACAGGGGCTGTGAAAAACACAAGTACGCTGATGCTGAAGGAACAGTGAACTGGTCCAGCCATTATGGAAAGCAATCTGGTTCTACACCTGAAAGTTACCAAAACTGTTCATACCCTTTGACAAGGCAGTACCAGCACTAGACCTAAAACCTAAAGAAATCAAAGAAAGAGGAAAAGGTTTATCAGCTTATATCAGCTTTCTTCCTGATGACCAGAAACTAGAAACTAAGAAGGTGTCTTCCTAATCACTTTCTTCTTAAATTTTCAGTCTGACTTCCAACTTTATCATTCAGTCAAAACTATTCTCTCCAAAGTTACAAAGTTCTCTTAGTTGCTAAATCTACTGACCTTCTTTAAACTCCTCATCCTTCTTGACCTGTCATCTTCTTGACCTCCTTGACCTTTTCCACTATTGATCAATCTCTTTTCCTTGATATTCTTTTCTCCAGGTTTTTGAGACATCACTCTCTTATGGTTCTCCTACCTATCTGACTGGACCTTCCAACTCTCCTTAGATTAGGATCTTCATCCAAGTCACACTTGCTAAATGTAGGTATCCGAAAGGACTCAATATTGGACCCACCTCTCTTCTCCTTCTATACTATTTCACTTAGTAATCTCAACAATTCCCATGGGTTCAATTATCATCTCAATGATGAAGATATCAAATCCATTCAGGTAGCCCTAACCTCTCTGTTAGCCTCCAATCTCGTATCTCCAACTACCAACTGGACATCTCAATATGGATGTCTTGTAGACATTTTAAACTCAACATGTCCAAAACTAGGCTGTTATCTTTTCCCCAAAACCCTCCTCCTTTCTAAACTTCCCTCTTATTATCAAGGGCATCACCAACCCCCCAATCCCCTAACCTACATATCATCTTCAACTTTCACACTCCCCATATCCAATCTGTTGTCAAAACCTATTGATTTTACCTTTACATCCCTCAGATACACTCCCTTTTCTCCTCTCACCCTGTCACCACCTTGATACAGGCCCTCATGTATTATCACAATAGCCGGCTGGTTGACTGATCAACCTGCCACAATTCTCTCTCCACTCCAAGTCCATCCTCCATTCAATCGCCAGAGTGATTTTCAAAGTGCAGACTCAGACTAAGTTAACTCCCCTACTCAATAAATTCCAGTGGCTCCCTATTACCTAAAAGGTTAAAAGGCTGACCATTTTGCACAGCTGTGCCTCACTTAAATCCAATTCATAAGGAAGTCAAGACATTACCTTTGTAATATCATTGGCCCTCTTCAAGAATGAAGGATTAACAAAAACAACAATGACCAGTCTTAATAGCTAATAATAATAGCTATCATTTCTACAGTATCTATTATACACCAGGCATTATGCTAAATGCTTTAGAATTCTTATCTCATTTGATCCTAACAAAAACCCTGGTAGGTTTGTTTTGTTTTGTTTTTTACAGAAAAGGAAACTGAGGCAGAGGTTAAATGACTTGTCCACAATCATGAAGCCAGTAAGCTGACTCTAGTCCTGACACTCTACCCACTGTACCACACCATTACCCCATTCTCCAGATAGTCTTCGATCCAGTGACATTGGTCTCCTGGTGGTTCCACATGCAAGACACTCCATATCTTTGCTCCAGGCACTTTCAATGACTGTCTTCCCATGGCTGCAACACTCTTCCTCCTCATCTCCACCTCCTGTTCTTCCTGGATTCTTTCAAGTCCCAGCTAAAATCCCTTCTTCTACTGGAAATCTTTCTTAATGCCTTTTAATCCTAGTTCCTTTCCTTGGTGATTATCTCTAATTTAGCCTGTATCTCTTATAGTGCTTTATGT